AAAAAAAAAAAACTTCAATATATTATTATATTTCCTATCAGAATTGAGGGTGGGATCCTCACAGTCTACCTGAACCTGGACATGGAACTGGCTGGGAGCAATCTGTTGACGTAACTTGCCACACTCAGGGCATTGCAAGCAAAATGAGTAATAGGATATTACAATTGATTTGAATTTTGAAATGACCATTAAATTATTATATTATACCAAATTGCAGCATTCGATAGAAATCTAGATAACTGTGAGTTTTTTTTTTTTTTTTTTTTATAAATAACTCTGTAAGTTTGTACTCGACTGAAAGCACATCGCAGAAGGAGATCACACCAAATAAGCAAGGGCAGAACACCGAAGTCAATTCGTAATTGAAGCCCTCTTCTCGCCTCCAACATCAAGGCAAAAAATGTCGCTAATCCCACATGCAGTGCGGCAACGGGTCTTTATCGAAGTATAGCAGCCCGATGGCAAATGAAGACTCGGAAGTAACGGCCCGCCGATCATCACCGAGTAAGCACTTCTGTCTCTGCTTATCCCTCGTCACTTCCCACACAGGCTCTCCTCCTCTCCCAAGGATCCTCGCGTTGTCCTCCACGGGCGCCAGGCCAGCGGCTTGGCTATGGCCGCCGCCTGTACTTGGCTGCACCCTGGCAGCTTCCCTATTCGCCCTGCCAGCGCCCTCATGCCAGCCAGCTCCCACGTGCACGAGCGCCCCAGCAGCACTGCCGCACACCAGCCAGCCAACAGGAATGAAAGTGAGGACGCCTCACTTTCCTGTACGCGGGGTGTCTGGCCTACGGCCAGCCTGGTCTGGCTGCGCCCAGTCCCAGTAGCTGGGCCCAGGGCCCTTCCAGAATGTGCCTGGGGATCAGCTGTAAGGGTCCTGGGCCTCAACCTCTCTGCTGGACCTCCAGCATCTTCAACTGCAGGACCTGCCGGTTGGTTGAAGACGCTGCTCGATGCAACCGACCAACGGGCCCCCGGCCTGTTCGCAGACCGAAACAAAAATAACAGGCCCACCTTTCCTTAGGGCGGGCATGGGGCCTTCTCCAGGATTGCGAAGGGCCTGATGCCTTGCAGCATACTCACACTAGCACTTTTTTCTACTACGCTCTGGACTTTATTGCGGTCAGATTCGTCCAAGCCCGACCCTAATTGTGGTCAGATAGATTTAGGAAAGTGATAGTCTGAGTATGCCCTCAGCCAGCTTCTCCCCCCCCC